ATCTTACAATTAACAACAACTGAATCTTTGACAATGACAGAGTTTTAAAACCCACTTTAATCTTGGCTTAATTTGGAGCAATGCGGACTAAACATTTTTTGATACACAAGTTCACATTTCAAAGGTGACATCAATTGTGACAAGATTAGACGTTAGTTGGTTTTTAACTTTATGTTCGTTGGCAGATATTTTAAAAATACTATGGGAATTTAACGCGATGTCTGAGAAGAAATTCCGAATTCTTTCCGCGACGCGATTGGTGGTGAATAGTATTCACATACCTGATTTTTATTGCCTAAAATGTCAATCTCAAATTTATTACGTATTTAAGTTATCGCCTTAGACTACGTACGTGTAAGATTACAATTACAATTTGTGTTTGACTAATGTTACCATCGTATAAATATTGACAATTTTTTTTATAAAACTTAAAATGGCAAACAAGCTGACGGCCCACCTGATGGAAAGTGGTAACCGTCGCCTATAGACATGAGCTGTACCATGGACATAACGGAGTATACTGTTTCGCCCATGATACCCCCCATGCGTTGCCATTCCTGAGGAAAACAGTATACTCTGTTATGTCCATGGTACTGCTCATGTCTATAGGCGACGGTTACCACTTTCCATCAGGTGGACCGTCAGCTTGTTTGCCATTCTAAGTTGTATAAAAAAAAATCTTGTACTTCAAGGAATATTCTAAAAAATAATTAGGGAAATCGGTTCAGCTGTTCTCGTGATATGCGCTTAGCAACACATTTAGCTATTCATTTTTATATTATAGATTACACAGATGCAAATATAGACAACTGAAAATAAACTCAATGCTATTTAGTTAAGATAACAATTGTAACAGCGAGTGTAATTAAATAGTAACAATGATAAAATGTCGCTATCAGAATAAAATTTATTATCACTGGCATTACATATTAGTAGCTCCCAGCTTACTCCATACACCAGACGCGGAATAAAAATAATTATCTCACATTGGACGCTTGCAGGCGGCAATAAAACCCATTATTCACTGCACATGAGCAGTACAAAAAATTCTATAATCCCGGTCAATTTGGCAAATGAGTGACGTCCCGTCCTTATGTCCCAGGGCAGCCCTCCCTAGGGTTGGCAGCCGGTTCGGTTTAATTCAATTTATTCTCTCAAATTACGACAAACTGACATTTTGTGTGAGCCCTGTTATTATTTATTTTATAAGAAGGAAGATTGATACGATGTTAAAATTCAGGTAGATATCATAACAGGATTGTTTGTGATAAACAATTTTACAAGAATATAAAATGGAAACCTGAGGACTCAGGTGTTATTCCTCTGTACCCTGTAAATTCACGCCATATCTCACCCTTCAAACCGAAACACAGCCATGCAGACAACTGCTTCACGGTTGAAACACGAATGGAACAGAGGTAACCAAGCAATCGATTTTTGTACAAAGTCTCCCTCTGGTAAATCCTCTGGTATGTTGCAGTTTCATAGCTGAAGCTGATTTTTATTTGGATTCTATTAATTTTGGAATCTAATACTATTAGATGGTTAATCGGGGACAGTGTCCCCGATATATTGAAAATTTGGTATATGTTCGGGTAAAAATTTAAAATTCTAAAATCAGGTTTTTTTTTTTAATGTATTGCGTTGGATTAATAATAAATAATAATAAACTATTGCGCACAATAGAGATGTATACAAGGAGTATTTATACAGAATGTGCATATACAAAAGGCGGCCTTATCGCTAGAAGCAATCTCTTACAGACAATCTGGACAATATTTTGAATTTCTAATTTTTAGGCAATGACCGCGCGTGGCAGCCCTATTTGGATGGCGCATCCCCATGCTATTAGAGATGTCTTTATCGCATTAGATGGTGCATCGGATGTACGAAGCTAATAACCATTGGATGCTAAGCTTAGTGATTTATAATACTATCTGAATTTATTGAATGGAAAGATTAAAGTCTGTTATTTCTAATGGTATATATTATTTTCGAGTTTCCTTTCTCTTATGGTATGGTGAAAAAGCTGTTAGATAGTGGTTACCGTCATCTATAGACAGGGATAGCACCATAGACGTTACAGAATGGTGTATTGTGCTTTTTTCGACTAATTTCTTTAATTTAAATTGTCTTGGAGTGGAAGAAGTGGAAATACACTATTCTTTTTTTTTTATACAACTTAGAATGGCAAACAAGCTGACGGCCCACCTGATGGAAAGTGGTAACCGTCGCCTATAGACATGAGCAGTACCATGGACATAGCAGAGTATACTGTTTCGCCCATGATACCCCCCATGCGTTGCCATTCCTGAGGACTCAGGTGTTATTCCTCTGTACCCAGTAAATTCACGCCATATCCCACCCTTCAAACCGAAACACAGCCATGCAAACAACTGCTTCACGGTTGAAACACGCACATGTTACAATACAAATGTGGTCTTAAATCAATTTTGACATCTTTTCTCTCAGCTACTATCAAACTAAACGTTTAACACCAGGAATTCATCGTTGCGTTGTAAAAATTCCACTGATCTGCATGAAGCAAACTGTCTTATCGTACATAAGCGAACTGCTAAGAAATGGAATACTCTTTCCGTTTCTCTATTTTCAGAGAAATACCTTGGTTTTCTCTTTCCTAATGATAAAGTAATGCAATGCCCTATGCTGGGTGCCAGTGAATGATAGATGGGGATGAATCCATGAATCCATTCGTGTTTCTACCGTGAAGCAGTTGTGTTTGCATGGCTGTGTTTCGGTTTGAAGGGTGGGATATGGTGGTGCATTTACAGGGTATAGAGGAATTTATAAGACAAAATAAATATAGAAGTTTTGAAGGAGCCAATCATAACTATTTATGATGCAAAATTGTATGAAAAGTTGACCCGCTTTTCTCTGAGTATTTGTATAATATTGTATTCTACAAAAAAAAAGACCGACTTCAATTGTATTTTGATTTCCAAACGAAACTATTTAACCAATTTTGATTAAATTCCTAAGTCTATTTGTAAGTAGGTTATCTTTTTTAGATAAAAAAAATATATTTCTTTTTAAGCCGGTTTACAACTGACGGAGTTATGAGGTAACAGACATAAAAAATGCAACCAAATATAGAATCTTCTTTTTGAAGTCGGTAGAAAAAAGTCTATAACAATACCCTAATGACATATCCATAGTTTTATGCGACGGTGCGTACGCCATGCGTGCGGGAGACCATGACGGATGCGTTCTATCCGTCAGCCTGCGCGCCGTGTAAGCGCCCTCTACTGTCCGCACTTAAGCACTACTACTTAAGAGATAGTGGCATCCACAACATTGTAAGATCTCATTATTCAACGGAATGTGCTTGTAAGAACATTTTCCCAGTTGTTCCATCACCACTTTATGAGGAGATAAGGTGATTTTTAGCCGATTTCTTAATGTAAATGATATCTGTATGTAATATGAGATTATTCCGTTTTTATTTTGAATATCTTTACATTCATATATATATGTATGTATCTTGTCTATCTCCCAATGGGGTAGGCAGAAACAATGGAACGCCAAATGCTTTAATGTGTTTTTGATTTAAACAAACCTCTTTCGAGTATTTGGCGTTCCATTGTCTCTGCCTATCCCAATGGGAGACAGGTGTGACAGATATGTATGTATAGAATACCTCCGGTTATTTTAAAGTCTTGTAAGGTACAGGCAATGGGAAAAGGCCTACATAATCTTGTTTTTAATTTTACAATGACAAAAAAAGACAATAAATTACTGTCAATGCTCGAGATCAGCTCAGACTGTCCTGTTTGAAGCTAACATGATAATAGTAGATTTTTTTTTATACAACTTAGAATGGCAAACAAGCTGACGGCCCACCTGATGGAAAGTGGTAACCGTCGCCTATACACATGAGCAGTACCATGGACATAATAGAGTATACTGTTTCGCCCACGATACCCCCCATGCGTTGCCATTCCTGAGGACTCAGGTGTTATTCCTCTGTACCCAGTAAATTCACGCCATATCCCACCCTTCAAACTGAAACACAGCCATGCAAACAACTGCTTCACGGTTGAAACACGAATGGTACCCAAGCAATCGATTTTTGTACAAAGTCTTACTTTGGTTCTATAAAACTATCTTTAATTTTGACCAAATTAATAAGAAATCGATATGACAGTAAAGATTTATTGCTTTATTTTTACGAATTCGCAATAAATATATCATACTTTTACTGAAATCATGTTTAATTGTCGTTATGCACTCAACACAAGGAACAGTTCTTATCTATAAGTATGTCAACATTCGAGTATGTTCAGACATTATGTGTCTGAGTATATATATATCTATTATACTAAATTTGCTTTTAATTTACATTTAAATTAAAATCATCTTTATTCAAATAGCCTTGTTTGCGAGCAGATTTAAATCGTCACTTTTTAATACTACTGCAAGAATTCAGAATATTATCTGTCGAGAAGAGCTCGCAAGAAATTTAACAGTTTCTCTTTAAATCTCTGTTAATGAATTACGTTAATTAAAAGCGATAATCTAAATTGATACGTCTGTTTATAAGAATATTACAAACAAACAATCAAATAAAAGAAAAATTTTATTGTTTTTTTTTTTTAACGGATAAACTATTCAATTCACTTTAAAAATCCTTGCATTTTTCATCAGCTACAATATGAGTGCGTAACATGGGCTATAGTTTATTTTAAATACGTATAAATTCTTTATATTTAGTTAGTGTACGCTTGTTTCAATTAACAAACAAGCATAATCATGAAAATAAATGTTTGTATTGAGTGGGATTAGAATCCTCGACCATCAGAAACTGAGGCGGTGTGTTAAATCGCTATACCATTGATGATGACCATCAAATTCAAGTATCTAAATTTTTCCTTACACATCTCCAAATACCCCACGTTCCTCTCCACGAGACTTATCTACGATTTCACTAAGAACACAAACCGGCATTGCAGAGAGATTACGTCAAACGTTCATCACTTCATACGTTGTCTCACCTTATAAACGTACTCACTATAAAAAGGTACATACCCGTCCACCTCGCATATCAGTCTGTGAACGTCAACCAGAGATATACAAAATGGTCTCCGAATTCAGAAGGAAGAAGTTCCAACACGTGTTCACTGTGTTCTTCGACACCAACAAAAGCGGGAACATCGACAAAAAGGATTTCGAATTGGCTATTGCGAATATAACGAAGCTAAGAGGATGGAATGCTGGTGACGCCAAATACAATGAAGTTAGGGACACACTGTTGAAAATATGGGACGGATTGCAAAGCAGGGCTGATTCGAATAAGGACGGGGAAGTGTCCTTTGACGAATGGGTCTCCATATGCGACGAGTATGCCAAGAATCCAACAGCGGCCCCTGAGTGGCTGAGAATATATTCCAAGTTCATATTTCAGCTGGAAGACGCTAGCAACGACGGGTCAATCGACAGCGAAGAATTTTCCTCGGTGTACGCTTCTTTTGGACTCAACAAAAACGAAGCAGTCACCGCCTTCCAGAAGATGTCTCGAGGGAAATCTAATGTGTCCTGGGCTGAATTCCAGGAGCTCTGGAAAGAGTATTTCACTTCTGAAGATGTGAACGCACCAGGAAATTTTATTTTTGGGAAGACCAGCTTTTAAAATGATTCGACTTCTTTGCATAATGAATGTGATTCTAAATTGTGATAATTATTTTAATTGGCAATATTTGGTAATGGCGTGATTTTTGGACGATACTGTGTATACAATAAATGTAATTTATTCTACCAGTTAGCTATTTTATTCAGCTTCCCTGGTTTATGCTAGCATTTTTTTTTTGTGATACTCTTAGTTTATAATAACAACAATACCTTTCACCATCGCACCGCTCACCATCGACAGCGAATCTATCTTCACACTTTAGAACCACGAATGGTCACGCACAGTGCAGAGTCAGAGGAGTTTCTTCCCGTGAATACTTAGGTTGTAGAATGATCTCCCTGCCGAGGCTTTCCCTAGAGACTATAGCATGGGGTTCTTTAAAAAAAGACGTATTAAGGTTTCATAAGGGTCGGCATCCCTGTGTGGTCTTGGCATAGAATAGGCCACCCCTTCCTTTCCCGTGGTTGTCGTAAGAGGCGACTAAGGTAGGGCGAGGGATGAGCAGCAGCGTTCCTCATAAAACATCTTTAAAGCCTGATTACCAATCCGCCTGCCAAGCGTAGCAACTACTAGCAAAACCCCCCCCAAGGGGGAGTCTTATGTTTAACAGTGGATAGTTAAAGACTGATATGATAACGATGAAGGATCGGCAACGTGCACATGACAACCCTAGTGTTTCAGACGTCCATAGGCTATGGTAACCCCGTTTATCATCAAACGGTTCATATGCTTGTTTGCCACCATAGTAGTATAAAAAAAAACATTAAAGATATTCACTTCAAGTTTGACGTCTTTTTTTATACAAAATTTTGTATTATTTATAGCATGACGTACTTTAAATTTATTTGATATGTTCTAAATAAATACTATTGATGTTGTTTTGTTCTTAAAATAACAAATAAATGGTATTTATTTAGCCGGCACTCGAGCGCCCCCTGTCGGAGCGGCAACCGCAATAATTATATTCTAATTTATGCTATGAAAGCAAACTCCAAAGGCAACATTGGATGCTGTACCTGTGGAGTATTGTGCTACTTTTGTATTTTAAAAACTTTATTCGCTAAAAAGTAAGTCGAGTAAATGCAAACACTTGGCTTATGTCGGACGCCAGCCAGCAAGCAACTAGTAGAAAGACAATTATACAGCGTGAACGACATGACATTACCATCTTTTAAATGTTTTATAGAGTAGCGATGCGCGAATCCGAATCATTTTGTTATTCGAATAATTAGTAATGACTAATTTTACAATTCAACTACTAAATTAGTAATATACTAATTTCAATATTCGAATGACTACTAATTAATAACTAATTACACTAAAGTTCTTTTTCTATATGCAGTCCATTAATTAAAACGACGACGGAAAAAAACAGATTCACCCAGTATTAAAATATCAATTTAGTGACACGTGTTGTAATACTTTCGCAATTTCCTATACAAACTTTATTTACTTTTATCGAAAATTGCTAATTTTTACTAAATTTAAATTGGCAACATTCTTATTCCTTAAAACATTCCAACGATCGGTTTGATTCGACTATGTTCGTGTCGACTCGTATATTAACGACTACGGATTAAAATTAGTATTCGGACATAAGTAATCGGCTGATATTAGTAAAATTAGTAGTCGACCGATTTGAAAATTATTCGAATAATCCGAATGATTTGCTCAGTCGAATAATTAGTAGTTGTTTTAGTAAAGCCCCGCAACTACGGAAATATTGTTTTTTAAAGAAACATAGGGTTAAAAATGATAAAAAGTTGATCCTTTTTAATATGGCAAGCTCTTTAGAAAAAAATATTTAAATGAATTAACTTTACATAAAATCAACATGGAATGTTGATGTATGTAGCACTAAAAATGACACTGAGCTAATTTTCTAGTATTTCATGAAAGTAAAGCGCTGTTGTCTGAGATACATGTTTTATAACCTAGTTCAGACACAGATGCTTAAGCTGATCCAAATGTACAAATGAATTCTTACTTTTACTGTAATTTCCAGTATTGAGTTTGATACAGCCATGGTTATCCAATAAAGTTATTATATAAAAAAAAAAATATATATTATTGACAGATGAGATATACTGGATTAACATGTAGGGTACTTTTTGAGTTTACAGTTAGTGATAGTTTTTTATACTACGAAGGTGGAAAATAAGCATACAGCCCGTCTGATGGTAAACGGTCACTGTAGCCTATAAACGCTTGCAACACTAGAGGTGTCATATACACTTTGCCGACCCTGAAGAAACTTTAATATGCCCTTTTTGAAATTTTGAATGGGGTAATCTCTGGGAGTTATATAGATTGTTTTGTTTTTTATCTAAGACTATTGACCTAGTTCGACGTATAATTGGTGCGTTATGGGAAACTTTAAATATATATTTAAATCTGAAAATACTAGCTCGAGCGAGAATCAAACCCGCAACTAACTTGATCCATTTTTGTTTAATGGGTGATAATGAAATGGTCCCTCCCTGTCTACATTATCAGTATATGCTGGCGGAGTGAGAACTGACAGTTGGGGATCAAAGCAGGTAAGTTAGCCTGTCGTGACGAATTCCACTATGGTTACCGGGAACCGTTTGGAGTTCGAATTGATAGAGTAAGTTGCTAGCAATGGGGCTGTGAGACCCCATTACTAACAATCTCTATCCCCCAACATGACTTATTGCAACAGTAGAAGAAGCAAACATTATTTATTACGTGATGTGAGAAGTGGAGGGAATAATACAATATACCCTGTCAGGTCGGGTTGGGGGGAAAGGGATTGTTAGGAATGGAGATTGACACCCCTATTGTTAGCAATATACCCTATTAGGTCGACCTTCACGTGGTTCCCCCTGGAAACCATCGTGAACAATTCTTATTGAATTCGTCACGATGGGCTAACTGACTTGCTTCATCCTCATCTATCATCCTTCATTCGCGGGTGGGGTTACCATTCCATTATCACTCATTAAAAAAATACCCTGTCAGGTCGACCTCCACGCGGTTACCTCTGGAAACCATCGTGATTAATTCTTGGTGAATTAATCACGATGGGCTAACTGACATGCTTTTGTCCTCACCTGTTAAGCGTCACTGTTTCGCCTCCAGCATATAGTATCTGCAGTGCATGCGAGGGTACAATTCCCATTATCGTCCCATAAAAAAAAAACAACGTGACAACCGCAGTGCCATAAAGATCGTCCAATTACGGCAAGTTAATAAGGTTAAGATCGGTAACATAAGGGTTAAAATGTAAAAATCTGCGAAACAATGGAGAGGGCGAGAGAGAGATGGTTGTTAAGATTAAAAGGTGGGGTTATAAATAAAAAATAATTTAGGAGAGCACAAAATAAAAGCGGACATTTTTGTTGGAACACGACGAGTGCTAATTACGGGTTGAATTATCGTTAAGCCAGCAATGGGTAGGTGACACGTGGTCTGTGTCATAAGAGGTAGCGGGGCGTGTTCCGTGATAACTTTAAAATATTTGGTACAAGTAAATTTTAATGTAATAACTTGGATTATATAGATTGAGCCTCAAGCCTTAAAAACGGGTTATGTTTTAGTCAGATAATTGGCAAATTAGCCGATTAGTTTTTTTTTTTATCAGTATTCTATATATTTACGCATTTACGTAAAATGTGTCTTAACGTATTATTTAATAAATAAAATGAGTGTTTACGCATTAAAACGATGCCGAATTTATAAAACAAATATAAAAGTTATAAAGGAATCACTCATAACCATTTATCATGCAAAATTGTACGAAAATATGGCCCGTATTTCTCAAAGCATTTCTATGGAGACACTCTACATACCATATATTGACCAGTTTCGGAATCAATTCGTGATCCTAAATTATGAGCTACTTTGACGTGTAAGTTAAACTGTTAGTTATTACTTTAAAATAGTGTGTTTACTAAACTTAACAAGTAGATTTTGTTTAGTACAAGATTTTCTGTTGTGGCCAAAAGCCAAAAGGCAACGTGTGTGTTTATTTGTTCTCTCATAACTTGTAAACTATTTATCAATATGACAAATGATCTTTGGAAGCGTTTTGATCGTTCGCTGGTTGTAAATTCATAGAATTTATCGAATATAGTAATGAAAGAGGTGAAGAAGTCACGTGTAGGGAAAGGCGTTTTTTGGGGTTTTTGCGTAGTGATTACATGTCTAAACATAGTGAAAACGAACTGAACTGTTACGACATCATAACCTTCAAGACAAGAGCATATGCCTTTTTAAAAGGCCGGCAGCACACCTGCAATGCCTTTGGTATTGCGGGTGCTCGTAGGCGGCGGTAGTTACCAACAGGTAAGCTACATGCTCGTTTCCCCCTGTGTTCAATAAAAAAAAAAAGTAGAAGATTTGGGTAGAAATAGAAGATCGTCTCTGGAAATGCCTAGATGTTTTATACTCATAAACATATGTGTAAAGATTTAGTTTAATTTATATCTCGATCGGTCTGTCGGCCTCGGCATAGAATGGGCCGACCGTGGGTGTCGTAAGAGGCGACTAAGGGAACTTATGGTCGAGGGATGGGCAGCAGCGTCCCTCTTAAAACATCTCTACAAGACTAACTGCAGTTGCTAACCCGCCTGCTAAGCGTGGCAACCATTGGCAAAACTTCCTTTATGGGAAAGACTTATGTTCAGCAGTGGACAGTTAACGGCTGAAATAATAATAATAAATATGTCAATCGCTATAAGCTTGTAACTTGATACGTGCCGGTACGAGGGGCTACCTGGAGTGGCTTCGCGATATTTATTACGGCGTTATTACGCGTAATCGCTGTTCAAATCTCCCCGCTTTATTATATGATCTCAGAACAATTTTTGTATAAAGGAAAACTTGCTTCGCTCTCATTTACTCCTTGTTTTACGGCGCATCTTATAGGATTATGGTGTTGTTTAATATTTACTTGTATTTTATTGAATACTAGTCGTTTCTTGCGGCTTTACTTGCTTGGATTCTTACTTTAATACGCCGATTAAGGGAGGGCGAGTTATGGGCAGCGGCGTCTCTCTTAAATCATCTTCAAAGCCTAACTGCAGTTACTAATCCCTCCCCCCCCTCCCTTTAAGGGAGGCTAGGAGTGAAGGAGGCCTTGGATAGAGGACATTGAGAAAAATAACAAAGGGCAGGTGGTGTACTATTATATACTAATCCTTTTTATTATTTCAGCCGTGAACTGTCCACTGCTGGATATGAGCTTTCCCCATTAGGGGTGTTTTGCTAGTAGTTGCCACGCTTGGTAGGCGGGTTGGCAACCGCAGTTAGATTTTTAGAGATGTTTTAAGAGGGACGCTGTTGCCCATTCCTCGTCTTCCCTTATTCGCTTCTTACGACATCCACGGGAAAAGAACGGCTGACCAATTCTATGCCGGGCCACACGCGGCGAATACAAATCTTTCCTCCTTATAATATTAGTGTAGATAACTAATATTATAAGGAGGAAAGATTTGTATTTTTGTGTGTATGTATGTATGTATGTTATTAGTGAATAAACTCGAAAACTAATTTGCCAAATTAAAAAATTCTTTCACCATTAGAAAGCTACATTCACCCTGAGAAACATAGGCTATATTTATTGCTAGACAAGATTTGAGATCTTTATTTAAACTTTAGTAATGTAACTCAAGGTGTAAAAAATGCTATAAAATATCTTTGGTCGCGTGCGCTGCGGAGACTATTGGTGATAGAACAAAAGTATGTTCTACAATTGTTACGTACGCTCGGAACGCACCTCAACACGAAATGTCAAAATGTTCTGTCAGATTTGCGCTGTCTGCTATCGCTTGCTTTTACAAAATTAATTACATATAATAAATCTGTTGTTTATAATAATAGCATTTAAATACTACACCCAATATAGAAACCCACAAAACACAACAGACTGGCGACGAGGATCGAAGATTAACTGGTACAGCAGCATTAATCGGTACACCTAAAGTGAAATGGCGGGACAGCCACGTGTTCAATAACCCAATTGTTCCTACATACATATCCTTCCTTCCAATCCAGGGGCTCCTTTCCCTGTGATGATAGCCCGCTTCACAAATTCCTGTATCCATTACAATGGAAGTACAATTTACGCAACTTATGTCGTCACTCGCCGAGACACTACGTACGGTGCAGAACCAACAAGCGCAGATGCAAACCATGTTTATGCAGCAACAGCAAACTACAAGTAATAACACAGTAAGTGGTATTGTTTTACAACCTTATGACGAACTCCACGAATCTTTTGGATCATACATACAAAGATTGAACAATTATATTAATCTTAAAGGGGTTACAAGCCCTGTTACAAAGTTGCAAATCTTCTTAAATTGTATTGGTGCTAAATATTACCAAGTCCTCAAAAATATTAATGCTCCAGATACACTGGAAAATAAAACATATGAACAACTTGTTGAGATATTAAAGAACCATATTGCGCCAGAACCAGGAGAAGTTGCTCAGCAACACAAATTCTGTTTAAGGATTCAAAATGAAAATGAATCTATCGCTAACTACGTAGCGGGACTAAAGGAAATAGGAGGAAAATGCAATTTTATCTGCAATTCATGTAAATCTACAACATTTGATACACATTTACGTGTACAATTCATACGAGGTCTTCGCAGTTCCGAAATTAAAGAAAGGTTATTACAAGAATCATCACAAACATCATTTGATGAAATAATGAGGATTGCAATGGCAATCGAAACATCCAAAAGTGAAACCCAACAAATGGGGCCAGATGTTTATATGCCCAATATTAATAAAATTTCACAAAAACCTATACCAAAAATTTACAAAAATACAGGTAAGAAAGGCAGCTGTTATAGATGTGGAAAATCAAACCACAAGGCAAATAAATGTTATTTGAAGAATAAATTATATTGTAAAAAGTGCAACCGAAAAGGACACATCCAATCAGTTTGCTTTAAGTCACAAAAACAAATTACAACAATTGAAGATGAAGAATATTCAAGTCAAGATGAAATTTATGAAATACATAAAATAGAAAACAGCGAAAAGGATGAAAAGTTTAAAATTACATTACAATTACATAGCAAAGAGAGACATACATGGGAATTGGACACAGGAGCCGCAGTCACCACCTGTTCTACAGAATATTATAATAAATATTTCAGTGATTTAAAACTTGTTAATTCAAAAATAAAATTGAGAACTTATACTGGTGAAATTATAAACCCAATAGGAATTTGTAACATAAAAATACAATACAAAAATAAGAAAATTACAGGAAGATTATTTGTTCTTAATAGGAAAGTCGACCCAGTAGTGGGAAGAGAATGGTTAAGAAAATTAGGAGTACGTTTGGAAATAAATAAAATAGAGATAGGGGAAAATGATATAACTGAAGAACAATACAAGAAAAATTTAGAAAAATTAATAGATCAATATAGAGAGATATTTTCAGAAGAAATTGGAGAAATAAGGAACTACACAGTGAAATTCAGCTTAAAAGAAAATGTTACACCAATTTTCATCAAGGCAAGACCAGTACCGTTTGCACTAAAAGAAAAAGTTGAAAACGAAATTGATCGATTAGAGAAGGCTGGGATATTAGAGAAAGTTACATATTCACAATGGGGAACGCCTGTAGTACCAGTCGTGAAGCAGAATGGCAGTGTACGGTTGTGTGCTGATTACAGAGCCACATTAAATAAAAATTTACTTGATGATAAGTACCCAATCCCAAGAGTGGAAGAAGTTTTCTCCAAACTAAGTGGTGGTAGATATTTCTGTACCTTGGATATAAATCAGGCATATTTACACATGAAAACTGACCCAGCCACAGCTGAAATGCAAGCCATCAGTACATGCAAAGGTACATTTAAAGTCAATAGACTAATGTTTGGTGTCAAAGTCGCTCCAAATCAATGGCAAAGATACATGGATCAGACCCTCCAGGGACTACCAGGTACAGCCTGTTTCTTCGATGATATAGCTATTCAAGGACAGACATACATAGAATTATTAAAAAGAATACAAACTATCTTTCAAAAGTTAAAAGAGTGTGGACTACATTTAAATAAAAATAAATGCCAATTCTTGAAGAAATCTATTACATACTTGGGACATAAAATAAATGAGAACGGCTTGCATCCTACTGAAGAAAAAGTAAATGATATTAAGAATAGTCCACGTCCCACTGATGTATCTACATTAAGAACATTTCTGGGAATGGTTAATTATTACCAACAATTCATTCCTAATCTAGCTTCAAAACTAAATCCTCTATATACACTTCTACAGAAAAATATAAAATTTATATGGTCAAAAGAATGTGAAACTTCATTTCAAGAATTAAAGAAGGAAATATGTAGCGAAAAGGTACTTACACCCTTTCATACACACTTACCAATTACATTAGCTACTGATGCATCACCTGTTGGATTTGGTGCAGTGTTGTCACACATTATGCCAGATAATAAGGAGAGACCGATAGCATTTGCATCGAGATCACTTACCAGTGCAGAAAAAGGCTACAGCCAGCTGGATAAAGAGGCAGCAGCATTGATATGGGGTTTGAAAAAGTTCTTTCATTATTGCTATGGACGCAAGATTACATTAATAATTGACAATCAACCACTAGCAAGAATACTTCATCCGGAAAAGCCTATGCCTACAACTACCGCTGTAAGACTATTACACTATGCAAATTTTCTTGCTGGATTTGACTACAATATAAAAGTACGGAAGTCTACGGAACATGCAAATGCAGATTATTTCTCAAGGTTAGAACACCCTACAGTAAAATATAACCAACTAACAGATGATGATGTATTCTACTTGAATCAACTTACAGTACTACCAGTTACATTCCAGAAAATTAAAGAAGCTACAGCTAAAGATTTAGAATTACAGAAATTATATCAGGATATTCAATCAGGTACAAATTATACAAAAGGACTACATGAATTTTCTATACAAAGTAACTGCATTTTCTATGGAATAAGAATAGTCATTCCAAAACAATTACAACCTGCAATTCTACAAGAATTACATACAGCTCATACTGGTATTGTAAAAATGAAGGCACTAGCAAGAAGCTATGTCTGGTGGAAAAATATAGATGCAGATATAGAAAGAATGGTAAATGAATGTAAACCATGTTGTTTATTACAGAAAAATCCTACAAAAATACCTATACACAGTTGGGAATACCCAAAAGAACCATGGAGTAGAATTCACATTGATTATGCAGGACCATTTTTTGATCAATATTTTCTGATTGTTGTGGACGCATACACCAAATGGCTAGAAGTAATACCTACTACATCCATAACAACTACAACTACTATTAAAATATTAAAAAACTTATTTACTACATTTGGACTACCTATAACTATAGTATCAGATAATGGAAGACAGTTCCGTTCAGAAGAAATGATGACATTTCTGAAAGAAAATGGAATTCAGTCCAAGTTTACAGCACCGTTTCATCCATCTACAAATGGACAGGCTGAAAGATATGTACAAACTTTTAAAAATAAAATTAAAAGCATGATCCATGAGAAAGGCACATTAATGGAAAAGTTATCAAGATTTTTAATGATGTACAGAAAAACTCCTAATAATACTACAGGATTAAGTCCAGCGGAAATGATGTTTAAAAGGTTATATAGAACAAAAATAGACTTAGTAAAAAGAGATCTAACTACAGAAATGAATATGAAACAAAATACAGAAGGATTTAATAAAATATATAGATAAGGAGACAGAGTGCAGATTAGATTCTATGACAGTAATAAATGGAAAATTGGGAAAGTAATAAAAAAGAAAGGAAAACTACACTACAATGTGGAAGTGGATGGAAAAATACATACAAGGCATATAGATCAGATAAGAAGAACTATGTGTACTCAAGGAAATGATGTTACATACTTACCTTACTTACCTAAGTTGATAGCCACGCCAGCTGCGACATCTGTATCATCACCTGAAAAAGAAAGAAGATTGAATTATACACCTGATGGGAGAGAATACTTACCTGACTCACCTGTACTGGAAACTTCACCCTGCCATGAAACAGGAACGGAGAATAATAAGCCTGTTTCGAAAAGAAAATATTTATTTGTTCCAGGTTCTATTACAGAGAATGTGACACAGCCACAGCTCGCACCAGTAGCTACGCCGGCATCTCCGAGTGGTGTCGAGCAACCAGTTGTGCTTCGCCGAAGTACGAGAATCAGAAAACCTACAAACAGATTGAACCTTTAAGTTACAACGTGGGGGAGTGTTACGTACGCTCGGAACGCACCTCAACACGAAATGTCAAAATGTTCTGTCAGATTTGCGCTGTCTGCTATCGCTTGCTTTTACAAAATTAATTACATATAATAAATCTGTTGTTTATAATAATAGCATTTAAATACTACACCCAATATAGAAACCCACAAAACACAACAAAGAAATAAAAGAAAACAAAAAAAAAAATAAAAGAAACAAATTAAAGAAAATATCAATAACTACAAAAAAGTTCGCGATACTATATGTCCAACTATTGTCGTTATGTCACAATAATCACTTTTTAAAATGTAAAATGTCCACCCGTGCGCCATATATATATATATATATATATATATATATATATATATATATATATATATATATATATATATATATATATATATATATATATATATATATATATATATATATATATATATATATATATATATATATATATATATATATATATATATATATATATATATATATATATATATATATATATATATATATATATATATATATATATATATATATATATACACACAAATATATATTTTGTCAGTTGAGTTGTTAGTAAGGCTCATACAAGCCACTGTAACGTTCACGTCACGGACAGGGCGCCGCGCCCGTTGTGCTACGGGACTGCATAGGTGGTGCACTGCGCTCAGAAGTCAGGTGATGGCTGGATGTGGTAAAATTTTTTCAAGATAAGTTGCAAATTTTACAAAAAATATGTAGGTACATTCAAAAGACAAATAACCACTCATATATATGTAAATACATATATGGTATACCAGGGTAATTCTCATGAAATCTCGAAATTCCAGTCCTAGTAGTTTTTACAATAAACTTAACAGACTTAGGATGGTATTTTATTTTTTTCAGAAAGAACATGATGAAGGCTAAAAATTTTGGTAATAACTTTGGAATCGTACGGGCATTTATGAGGAATAAAAAATATATAGTACATTGAAAATCATTCCCTCACTATGTCCCAAACTACAGATTAAAACATTGTATGAAGTTATTATAGAAAATTTCTCAAAAAATCTGTTTGTAATTATGGCTAGTCTCTTGTAAATACAACAACTTTTTAAAATTTCTCTGAATTTAAGATCATAAATCATCAACAAGTTCTCTAATGTTGACTCAACATGTGTCCCATGAAAAATAATCATTCCCTCATATCATTATCAACAGTCGATAAGTAGGTATATTTATGATGACTTCAATAACATTATCATTAGTTTTTGATAGTTGGTAGTACGGTCACTTGTTCGGAATGGTGAATTGACCTCACGCTTGCTAGAGTACTTGTTGGAAATAAATATCCATGAAATTTTGTAAAGATTATATTTTAAACAATCATTCCATCACAGTGTAGAATAAACAAGGTAATTAAAATATTTGAATTTTGATGAAGTAGTAAAGTATGTTTTTGGAGGTAGAAAGTGTAGAGAAAACAGTTAGATGGTAACAAGAGGTTATGTTGCGAGATTTTTTAGGTTATGGTTTATTTTGTCATTCCCTCATCATCATTCCCTCATTTTGAATAAAAGTGAGGGAATGATGATTTATGAGGTAATTACTTTCAGACTGGATCAACTCGATTTTCGTACATGTTACTTCCGAATTTTTAAGTTAATATAACCTAGTAGAATTCTAAATGTATTTAAAAAATAAATGATACGATTTCATATGAGCAATGAATATAAACATCATTTCCTCACCTCAGTCATCATTCCCTCACATTTAAATATTTTAAGGGTTCATAAATTCGTTCAAAACTCATTTATTCTGGGGACCACGATATTTTTCACTCCTAATTACATGAATAATATAAATTTAAGAGAAAATGAAGATCAATTAATTCAAACAATTTTCATTAATTTATTAATAGGTAATTTCGGGATTTCATGAGAATTACCCACCACTGTAAACCTTATGGGAGACTGGGTTAATTAAATCAGATCTATAATCCAAGAATCAAGGCCCCCATCTGGGATAGGTACATTATATAATTTAAACTTTGGATTTGTAAAATTTTAGAGAAATCATATCGTTGGAAGAATTTTTGGAGAAAAGTAAAATTGGACTTGGAGAAAGTTGTGTAATTTTTTAACGGTGAAGCAAAAAGGAGTGTTATGATTTTAACTGCCTTGTATATATGTTTCTGTTCTTTCATAAATTGTAAAAAGTAGCAAACAGATTTAATTGAAGTTCCATCTCATTTTTTCATTATATTTGAAATTATTTGTTTACAACAATATAAAAAAGCTTACAAGATAATACGTACATAGTATGTAACGTAATCTGTAATTTTACTTCCTAGAAAAAAAAATTATAATACCAAAAATAAAAAAATACTTCAAGAAAAAAAAAACAAATTGTATCTGTATTATTGGTTACTATTGGCTACAGAAATATTTTTATATATATATATATATATATATATATATATATATATGTATATTTGAGACCCTATTAATGATTAATATATTTTTTTTATACAACTTAGAATGGCAAACAAGCTGATGGCCCACCTGATGGAAAGTGGTAACCGTCGTCTATAGACATGAGCAGTACTTTGGACATAACAGAGTATACTGTTTCGCCCATGATACCTCCCATGCGTTGCTATTCCTGAGGATTCAGGTGTTATTCCTCTGTACTCAGTAAATTCACGCCATATCCCACCCTTCAAATCGAAACACAGCCATGCAAACAACTGCTTCACGGTTGAAACACGAATGGGACAGAGGTACCCAAGCAATCGACTTTTGTACAAAGGCTCCCTCTGGTATATGGTATATGGTAATGATTAATAACACCAATCTTAAGGAGTGGGTTAAAATAATTAACATACTGTACAGCATATAAACAGAGAAATAACTGTCTCTTGCAGTCGTATCGTAGAGTATGTAACGGTCCCCCCCTCGCTATTTTTTGAAAAAAGAAGAGAGGTCATCAACCTTTATAAGAACACATAATTAGATCATTATATATACAGTGAACACTCGATCATTTGGCCAAATTAATAAATGTGTGATCGTCTAGTAATGTAGGACCCGTTGTGTGTGTAATAACTAAGAGGTTCTTTAATTGGTATATGACAGGAGTTAAATAATGAAGATGATTGATAAATCCTTAAGGATTAAGGGTATTTAATGAGTTATACTCATTTTCATGGAACTAGGAGTTATGTTACTATTTACCAGAGGGAGACTTTGTACAAAAGTCGATTGCTTGGGTACCTCTGTCCCATTCGTGTTTCAACCGTGAAGCAGTTGTGTTTGCATGGCTGTGTTTCGGTTTGAAGGGTGGGATATGGCGTGAATTTACTGGGTACAGAGGAATAACACCTGAGTCCTCAGGAATGGCAACGCATGGGGGTATCATGGGCGAAACAGTATACTCTGTTATGTCCATGGTACTGCTCATGTCTATAGGCGACGGTTACCACTTTCCATCAGGTGGGCCGTCAGCTTGTTTGCCATTCTAAGTTCTATAAAAAAAAAAAAAAAAATGTTAATTTAATATTGAATTACAAATAATTGTAAAATATAAATACGGGAGTGGTCGAGCCCCCCACACGCCCAGACCAGTGGAAGACTTTCCAACTATCTATAACTCTTTCTCCTGAGAAGACACGGGTATTGGAGGTACTGGAGATGCATAATGCACTGGGTAAGGTAGGGAAGTACAGAGTATTCTCAGTTCCGAACCAAATCAAAAGTACATTAGTACATCAACATTACATTGGCTCCACCAGCCCCACAATGCTTCCAGTAGAAAAGTAGTCGTTTTGCCAAAGGCAAAGAATCGAAACTGAAGCCCCAGGATCACTCAGACACGAGAGTTTACTTTGGATGCAACCCCTTTCGGTCCTATAAGGTGACATTAAGAGATCAACTCGTAGATAAAGCACGTAGTCGAAACTGAAGTCCCAGCATCACTCAGTCACGAGCTTATGGGGGTTTCCCTTCGGCTCAAATGTGACAATAGAGATCAAACTGTGGAGACAGCCCGAGACGCGACTGAAATCACGAGATCACTCCGACACCAGAACTTACTTATGGGAGAGACTCCGTTTCGGCTCTATAATGTGACATTAGAGATCAACCCGTGGAGACAGCCCGATTAATATGTAGAATAGTGTGATAGGGTTTACCTTCCACACCGTAAGATTGGCAAAGCCAATATAATGTTGATAGCTGCTATATGTAAACATAGCATATTTAATTTTGTATAATTTACTTAATACCAAGAATACTCAAGGATTAAGATAGGTTTTGTGAATGTTGAGTAGGCCGGAGCCAAGTATGAGTAGGTCAACCCGTAGGAAGAGAACTACTAAGAGAGGTTGTTGAATAGGCCGTAGCCAGGTATGAGTAGGTCAACCCGTAGGAAGAGAGCTATTAAGAGTGTTGTTGAATAGGCCGTAGCCAAGTATGAGTAGATCAACCTGTAGGAAGAGAGCTACTAAGACAGTTTGTTGAATAGGCCAAAGCCAGGTATGAGTAGGTCAACCCGTAGGAAGAGAGTTACTAAGAGTGTTTGTTGAATAGGCCGTAGCCAGGTATGAGTAAGTCGACCCGTAGGAAGAGAGCTACTAAGAGTGTTTGTTGAATAGGCCGTAGCCAGGTATGAGTAGGTCAACCCGCAGGAAGAGAGCTACTAAGAGTGTTTGTTGAATAGGCCGTAGCCAGGTATGAGTAGGTTAACCCGTAGGAAGAGAGCTACTAAGAGTGTTTGTTGAATAGGCCGTAGCCAGGTATGAGTAGGTCAACCCGTAGGAAGAGAGCTACTAAGAGTGTTTGTTGAATAGGCCGTAGCCAAGTATGAGTAGATCAACCTGTAGGAAGAGAGCTACTAAGAGAGTTTGTTGAATAGGCCAAAGCCAGGTATGAGTAGGTCAACCCGTAGGAAGAGAGTTACTAAGAGTGTTTGTTGAATAGGCCGTAGCCAGGTATGAGTAAGTCAACCCGTAGGAAGAGAGCTACTAAGAGTGTTTGTTGAATAGGCCGTAGCCAGGTATGAGTAGGTCAACC